TGCACGTGTGAGTGTGGGTCTCAGTGCATGACGTGCACACCTGTGACGTGGCTCCTCTCCCTCCTTGCCTGGGTAGTTACCACTGATAGGCAGTCATTGCTTCACTGTGCCCTCCCCACCCCAATGGATGTTCGAGGAGAGGGTGCCAGGGCCACCCAGGTGCAGCCCCAGCCTCCAGGACATGTGGAAGCTCTCTCTGTGCTCCCCAACCTGCTCAGCCACCCACACTCCTCACCATGATCCTTCCAAACCTTCTCTGCTCTCTTCAACCTCTGCCTAACCCACCTGTAAGACCTGCACGGGACCTTATCTCTCACTTTTAATAAGAGCCTCCCAGTTGGCACTGACCCCGCTAAAGGACCCTGTATGTGGTCACCCAGCTTCTTACCCCATCTTCTCCTTGTTGGGAAGTGTGGTTTCCTTTCCAAAGCCAGTCGTCTACCTGGGCACAGGTCGGATCCCTCTGTCCCGCTGAACGGGGCTCCTGCCAGGTGTCCCCTCTCTCCAGCTACCATCATCTCTTCCTCTCTACCTTTCCCTCTGCCTGCAAACATGTCAAGTCTCCCCTTTCCTTAAAAACCTTCAGCCAATCTCCCTTCCTCTAAAGTCACTCTTTCTAGCCCTGTCCTGCCTTACTATCATACTTCTTAGAAGTGCGCCCCCCTCCACCCCCCAATCTATGTGTCCTGGCCAAGCCTGGCTGCTCTGTGATCCCTAACAAGGAGGCCTCACTATTCCTCTGAAGATGCTTTCAGAGGCCAACCTGGCCCCGACATCCACACGGGCGAGCTATCACTCCCTGCGGCACTCTGGCCTTCTCTGGGCGATGGACGCTTAGCTTCTCCACATTCTTTCTCAGCCCCTTCTTCCCTCCCTCGCCCCTCCTTTCTCTCAGCATTTATTGCACATTCACTGTGTATCAAGCCCTTTTCTGAAAATAAAAAGAATCACTAGACACTCTCCCTGCCCCTCAAGTTGCTGCCCATCTGGCTTTCCCGTCCCTTTCATGCCATCTCTGGCTGTTTCTTTCCCCTAGTCCCTCGGGTGTTTCCCTGGGTGCTGTTTTTGACATTCTTTCTCCCTTGCCAACCTCATGTGCAGACCCCCATCGCTAGCTCAAATGGCTCCCAAGTCTCTATTTCCAGCCTGCCCCTCCCTCAACCTCCTGTTCCCCTGGACATTCCCACCTGTTCACCTCCTGCACCCACCTCAGGAAAAGGGGATGCATTGCGTCCTCTTTTCCTGTGTCTTGGGCTTGCCAACCACCCCTCTCCTGGGATTCTTCAGATTAAGTCCTAATTTGTACATTGTGCCTCTAGGATTTCTCCCATTTGCCCCTTTCCATTTTGGGACCCATGCCCAAATCGAGACCTTCACAGTCCCCCTCACCCCTGAACTGCTGCCGTAGCTTCCCAGCTAGTCTCTCTCTGGATAGCCACTTTCTGTGCATCCACTTCTCAGGCCACAGCCAGATTCATTTCCCCAAAGCACTGCTTGCATCTGTCACTTCCTTGTTTACAAAAAGTTTCTAAGCATTCCATGGCCCCCCGTTGCCCACAGAATATAATCTAAATCCCTTCATCTGTGTTCAAGGCCTCCACAGTCTGGTCCCCACCCCCATGCCCCAAACATATGTCAACTTCATGAGCTCTACAATTCAGCCATACACGGTGTTCCAGCAACAGGCCCAGTGCTTCTGTGTCCCCACTTTCACTCATGCTGCTTTCTCTTTCAAGAATCCTTTTTTCAGCTTTTGCATGATCTCAGACTGAGCATCTTTCAAGGCCTACCTCATATACCTTCTCCTCTAAGAAACCATCATTTTTTTTTAGTAAACAAATTTTTTATTGGGGAACAATGTTTTTCCAGGACCCATCAGCTCCAAGTAGTTGTTTCAATCTAGTTGTGGAGGGCGCAACTCAGTGGCCCATGTGAGGATCAAACTGGCAACCTTGGTGGTATGAGCCTGTGCTCTAACCAACTGGGCTAACCGGCCACCCCTAAGAAACCATTATTATTTTCCTGTCTTAATACCTCAGGCAGGAGTGATCCTCTCTCTCCTGTGACCTCTTGCAGCCCCTTATGCTATCTTATCTGGCACATGTAATTTTTTGCTTTGCACAGGAGATAGATAGATCTAGATCTATCTATCTATCTATCTATCTATCTATCTATCTATATTATATGTATTATATATATATATATTATATATATATATATATAATTTCTAGAGGGGCAGCTAGCTCCTTTGACTCATCTTTCTGTTCTCCAGAAGACTTATCACAGAATAATGTTCCGTGGTCATTGTATCTGGTGAATGGATGGATAAAACAATACATGATTGAGTGGGTGGGTGGGTGGATGGATGGATGGATGGATAGATAGATAAATAAGTGTTTGCCTCTAGGGCTAAGCCAAGTGTCTAACTAGTTTGACAATGACCGTTAATAAAGTAGAGATTAGAGAGGAGTGAGAGGGAGCTCACAGCGCTTTGAATATGTACTAGAGTTTATTCTGGTCATCAGACACCTACTAAAAAGTATTACAAAGTGAGTGCTAAGAAGATAGGAGAAGGATGAAGCTCTGGAACGGAGTCTCCCCATGGACACCAAATACCTAGTGTGACTCTGATGGCCAGAGTCTTGTCTTGGAGAAGTCTTGGCTCTAGAATTCCAAAAAGACTTAAGAAATGTGGCAGGTTCTAGTCTGTACTCACGATGTACCTGACACAGTATTCGGTAGGCACTCTGAATCATGGCAATGCCAAAGATACAATGATTTTCAGCTCCATTACTCTGGACAAGTTTTTAAAGCTCTCTGAGCCTCAGTTTCCTCATCTGCAAACCTGGTCTACCTTATGGGGCTGTTGGGGAGGATGAAACAAAATAATGCTTGTAAAGTGTTTATCAAAGTACCTAGCATGAGCATGCAAAACATGATAGCTATTATTATTGTTGGTTTTGTCCGCAGAAATTAGCAGTCATTCTAGTTAGCAAAAAAAATTTTTAAAAATATGTTCCTATGTCAGGCAACATATAATCAAAGACTAAGTTACATGGTTCTCTTTTTAAGTCTCACTGGAATTCAGAGAAGGGTGAGGACTAGAATAGTAGGGGAAGCCTTCCAGGGGAGGAGGGTTTAGGATGGACCTGGAAGGATGGGTGGGATCTGGGAGGAAAGGAATAGTGGACAGAGAATAGTGGAAGAGCATGTGCAAAAGCAGGGAAGTGGGAGTGAGGGCTGGCTTTGCAGCAAGCAGGTGGTTTTGGTGGCGGAGAGACAGTAAGCAGAAAAATGGCCTAATACAAAGTAATAGGTGATAGGATTGGGAGCACCAATGACCTCAGTCTTTCATGACTCTCTGTCACAAAGAATGGCTATAGAAAACCCATCTAAGTTCATTAGTCCTTGTGGAGCTAGAAATAATAACAACTAACACTCTATATAGACTTCATAATGTTTTGAACATTTCACATGTTATAATTTATCTGATATTCAGAGCAGCCCTATGACACTATCTCCATTTTACAGATGAGAAACACGAGGCACAGAGAGTGCAAGTAATTTGCCCAAGGTCACACAGCTTCTGAGTAGCAGTCTTGTACTTACCCCCAGGATCTCCTGTCCAGAGTCCATGCTCTTAACCACTACATTATGTTGCCTCTTCCCTATACCTCTGTAGCCATCATTTCTCTTCACTCTATGGCATATTGCCAGCAGACAGAAAGACAGTCCTACTGCCACCATCACACTGGAAACCCAGCCAGGCATTCATTGAATGGTTATTATGTGTCCAGTATTGGGGGTTGGGGTGGGGATGGGAGCATTACTAAGGGTCTGAGGAAGGAGAAGACATGGATTGTGGTCCCAGAGAACTCATAATCTCTTGCAGCAGACAGGACTTAACTCGCTAGGAACAAAGGGAGAGCAGTGCCCACCAGGATGCCTTCCTGCTGAACCAGGGGGCACTAACCTGCAGCGAAGTAGCACTTCAGAGAGCAGCCTCAGCACTGGCATCTGAGGAGGCTGTGGGCAGATGGGATGGGGCCTTGGCCCCAAAGGGTGTTTTACCAAATGTCTGCAAGTGAGTGAGTGAGACTGACTGCTGTACAGGGGCAGGCAGGCACTGGGCCACCAATCCCTTCTTCACTTGGCGGGTTGGGGGGAGTTGGGATGGGGACCCCAGGCAGGAAAGGGGGTGTGTGTGGCAGAGCAGCAGCCCCCAGCCAATGACCTGACCACTTCACCCTAAGTTGGCTTCGTTTTCTGGCCTCTCTTGCCCGTGTGTCCACCACACAGGCATTACTAAGTCCCTCTGTGTTCAGCCTTCCTGGGGTTATGAGAGTGAGGTTGCACAGTGGACAGTAGATGGAGGACGCATGGGACGAGGGCCCAGCACAGAGCCAAGGAGAGAGGCATGACAGAAGCCAAGGGGGGTGAGAACCTGGGCCTGAGGCTGGCCTGCAGCCCAGGGGCAGGGCAGGTGGGACGAACAGGGATGTAACCGCAGCACCCGGACGGCTGAGCCCTGCCGTCATTTCCTTTCCAGCCAAAGAACAATGGCACAAAAACAAGTGCAGCCCTCCACTTTCCCGCCTCCCGGTCCACAGGCACACTTGCTTCCCCGGGCTGAGCGAATGGAAAGCCTGAGTCCTGGAGAGCCCTGCGCCCTTCCGCCCTGCTCTCGGGAGCCCGGGCCCAGGGCGAGGGGCTACCCAGCTCCAGCCCTCGCTTGCTTAGATCCCGGCTGCACAGCCGGGCTGGCACGTTCTCCCTCCCGTTCCAGGCTCTGTACTCGGCCAGCCGCCTGAAGAGTCACCGAGGGATGACGACGCTACAGCCCAGTGGGGCGCCCTTTCTACACTCGCGGCCACGAGCGCGCAGCGCCCAGGAGCCGGGCCGAGCCTGACGTCAGGTCGTCTCCCCTCGCACACAGGGATCTGCGAGTGATCCGACCAGCCATCTCCCTACTGCATGGAACGGCTGCAGAAGGTGCGCGGGGCTGCACCCAAGCCTGGGCAGCTGAGGGCCTGGGTCTCGGGGTGGGTGGGGCCCGGCTTCCCGCCGAGCGTCAGGTCGGGATCGATGGTGCCACCTGGTGGTTGCCCGCAGCACCGCACCCTGGGGCCCCAGAGGCCTAGGGAGTCCTCTCTGCCCTAGACCACCCTCCTGCGGCGGGTCCTGCGCCTTTGGAGAGCCCTGCCCGCGGCCCTCGCCCGCACGCACATTCCCACGCCCGCCTTCTCACTCTCCCCAGCAACCACTCACCTCCCCCGGGAGCGTGAGCTCCTCCCGAGACTCCAGTGTTCCGGGCTCTCCCTCCAGCATCGTGGTGAGTACCTCTTGGCCACCAGCACCCTCAGACTGGGAGGAGGGAGGGGTGGACATGCTCACTGCTGGGCGGCTTCACTCAGCCTCCCTGTGATGGTCCTGCTAGGGCTGGTGGGCAAAGAGAACCCCAAAATCCAAAGGCGGTTCCCCGTCCCCCGTTCTCCTGATCTGTCTTGTTGTACCCAGAGTGGTTGGTGAAAGACTACGTCTTTTAAGGTGACACTCTAAACCCTTAAAATTAAATAATGGAATTATTAACTTATAGGAGCTGACAGCTAAAAGGGCTGCCCATTTTCTTTCTGATAAATTGCACATCTGGCTTGTAAGGCCAGGATCCCAGGTGAGCCTTTCGGCTCGTCTGTTCCATCGGCACCATTTCTCTTCAGGCCAAGATGGATAATCAGGTGCTGGGCTACAAGGACTTGGCCGCCATCCCCAAGGACAAGGCCATCCTGGACATCGAGCGGCCTGACCTCATGATCTACGAGCCCCACTTTACCTATTCTCTCCTGGATCATGTGGAGCTGCCCAGAAGCCGGGAGGTGAGGTGGGGGGAGTTTCCTCTTAGACAGGAATTAGGGGAAGGGCTCCCCCAGACACGTGGCCTGGGAGGCAGAATCTCTGTCATGCTTTATTTCCTACAGGCCAAACTCCAAAACAAGAAAGGGAACTGTGCGCGGGAATCAACCAGTGATGACCAAGTGTTTGTAGGCAGATGAGCTGGAGGGTAGCTCATGTAGGGAGCAGGAAAGGCCATGTTTGAATGGCAGCAGCACAGAGGGGTCATGTAGGAGAAAGGGTGGATGGGCAGAAAGACAGCAGATTTGTGGAAAACGCCTAGCACTGAACTTGGAGGCCGGAAATCCAAACTGAGTGACCTGTGTGATGGTGTGGTCTCTGTTTCCCCTTCTGTAACATAGGTGATACCTCTGCCCATCCACATCACCAGGTAGTCGGTGCATGAGATAACACACACCATGTGCTTGAGATGGGATAATGTCATGGCTGAGCAGTAAGATGAGGCCAGACTAGGGGGAGGTTTAAATACCCGGCCAGGAGCCTGGACTCCATCCCGGATGCTTGTGGGTCTGTCCCTTCCACTCATTACCGGCTCTGAGGACAGGGCCACAGACATTTTCTGTTGGCCCTCAAAGCACAAGCACACTATTCCAGGATCTGTGGCTTCTTGATGTGTCCTAGGGAAAGACTTAGGACTCTACCCAGGAGAGTACTAGAAGGGAGAAGGATGGAGGGCTAGCGCTGGGAACTGGCGAGGATTGAAAGAGAAGAGGTGGCCCAGATATTTGCCAGGCAAGGGTATAGAGTTGGGTGGGGGATGCAGTGGCCCCTCTGGGGGTCTAAGGATGAGGGTTTTATCCTACCCTGTGACCCTGACCAGCTCCTCTCCTTTGCAGCGCTCTCTGTCACCCAAATCCACATCTCCGCCACCTTCCCCAGAGGTGAGTCTGTACCACACCTGACACCTGCCTAGCCCTCCTCTGACAAGTGCAACCTTTTTCCACCACATGCACCCAGACAGGGCTCTGCAGAGCCCAGGGGATGACGGAATCAGTGGACCTCATTCTGCCTCTGTCCAGCTCTGTCCATCTGTCTGTCTGACCCAGGACCTCATGTAACCCTTTCTCCTGGGTCAGGCACCATCAGCAGGTCCAGTCTTTGGATACCCTTCCTCTGCCCTGAGGTTGGGGGCCTGTGTGTGGGCTGGTAGGGTGGGAGGACAGAGATGGTGGAGGACCTGGGAACTGCAGTAAACCCCACTTCTGCTGTGCAGGTGTGGGCAGACAGCCGGTCCCCTGGAACCATCTCTCAGGCTTCAGCCCCAAGAACCACTGGGACCCCTCGGACCAGCCTGCCCCATTTCCACCATCCTGGTAGGTTTTCCTGTCAGCCTGGCTGCATCCTTTCCCTAGGACTTCTTTTCTCCTTCAGGAACCTAAAGCCCTTTGCTCTCAGCCCCCCACTCTCTGGGGTGTATACTTCCCTCAGAACTGGCCATACCCCCTGATCCCCGGACCCTGGGCACAGCTCCCAAAGATGATGGGCCCTGTCGCATCTTCCTTCCCACCCAATCAGAAAACTACAAAAATGCCCAACCCCTTAGGGACCATTCCAGGAAGTCAGGCTCTGTCTTGGCGACTGACAGGAGCCCATGCATTTCTTACCTTTTCCCATCCCACTTGTCTCCGTTCTCATCCCTGACGTAGCCTCCCCAGCCATCAACACATCCTCCTTCTCATCCGCTCTTGCTCCCTCCCCACAGAGACCACCCGCCCAGATTCCAACATCTACAAGAAGCCACCCATCTACAAGCAGAGAGGTGAGGTTCCCCTGACTCACCTGAGGCCCCCTTCAGGTCACATTCTGGGAGGCTGTGCCGAGGGCTGAGAGGGGATAGGAGAACAACTGTCCTTCACAGCATGTTACCATGCCCTGTGCTCTCCCTTGTGAGTTGTTTTCACATCCACAATCTCACAGGTGTGACGGGGGACAGGTGAGGGAGTTGGGGACTGGAGGCATGCATAGGCTGACCCTGACCTCCACCTGCAGAGTCCACGGGAGGCAGCCCTCAGAGCAAGCATCTCATTGAGGACCTCATCATTGAATCATCCAAGTTCCCTGCAGCCCAGCCCCCTGACCCCAACCAGCCAGCCAAGATTGAAACCGACTACTGGCCATGCCCCCCATCGCTGGCCGTTGTGGGTAGGAGCAACTGTTGGAGAAGGGAAAGGGAGGCTGGGTCATCCGCCTCACAGCCCCTGTTGAAGCCTCATGAGCCCACCCCCACTTCCGCCCTATATCCTACAGTGAACCCTGCAGGCCTCTTGCTTACCCATCCCTGCATTCCTATAGCTCTGGTGCCAGTGGGCCTGTTTGTTAGTCATTCATCATTTCCATTCATTTATTTGACCACTCAACAGACATTTGTCACACTTCCACTGAGTCCCATGTGCTGTGAAAGGAGCTCTGGAAAAGAGAAAGAAAAATGAGACGAGGTCTTGGTTCCCAATGAATTTAAGTTGTGTGAGTGTGTGTTGCCTACACAGCCTCACTGTAAGACTAGACGGTGTTGCCATTATTTTACTTGATTGTGTAGAGATAATTTGTAGTGTTTGCTTTAAGGTGCAGCCCATGCCGTGCACACAGTCAGCACCAGGTAAATCCTTGTTAAGCGAATGGTTGGTTGACGTGCCTGCTTTTGCCCCTGTTTCCCAGAGACAGAATGGAGGAAGCGGAAGGCATCGCGGAGGGGGGCAGAGGAGGAGGAGGAGGAGGAAGACGATGACTCCGGGGACGAGATGAAGGCTCTCAGGGAGCGTCAGAGGGAGGAACTCAGTAAGGTAGCATTGCCATACCCTCCACCCAGCCCCACTGTATCTGCCTGGGGACAAAAACTCTGGTTCCATCGCTATTCCATTCCAAATGGGCTCTGCCTGAACAGCATCCTGGTCGGAACCTGTGAGGAATCCCCCTGCTTTCCCAGGACTTCATGCTGCTCTGCGGGGAACAGTGGTTAATATTAGGGTCAAAGGCACGGAAAGGCTGAGTAGATCATGGAAAGAGGAGAAGGGAGAGAGCATACTGCTGGTCTCCAGGGGAGGAGAGACCGTGTTGGGAGTCAATACAAAGGCTGCGCTGATGGTGACATGGGCTTGAGCTCTGGGCATCATGACCTAGGATGGGGAGGGCACTGGGGTGAGTTCCACTGTGTGGCTCTGACTCCTTGCACACAGTGTGGCAGTGCATCGGACCCAGATGACAGACTCCACGGGCCCCCGGGCATGGCCCCGTTACTCAGGAAATCTGTCCCCACTCCTGCTGCAGTATGCCCAACTCTGAACCTTTTGGAGATGAGAAATGACTATCGAAGTCTTGAATCTATCTACCTTTCCTCCTCCCCAGGTTACTTCCAACTTGGGAAAGATGATCTTGAAAGAAGAGATGGAAAAGTCATTGCCTATCCGGAGGAAAACCCGCTCCCTGCCTGACCGGACACCCTTTCATACCTGTGAGTGCCATGAAAGAAACTCAGAATCAGCTGGCCAGACCCTGAGGCCAGAATCGAATAGTCTGTTGAGTTGGCCTGTCATATGCCCTGCACTGTGCTATTGTGGGTGTAAGAGGCAGAAAAGGTTGCTGCCTCAAGGAGCTCACGCTCTCCTTAGGGCAGGAATACCAGTCATGGAATGAGACTAGATGATCCAAGATGGTATTGGCTAAAGAGAATTAGCTAATTTTGTTTAATTGAGTAAACATTTACTGAGTGTCTACCATGTGCAAGGCACTGGAGATTATCAAAAGGGAAATAATACAATCCTGTCTTTCAGTAGCTTCCAATCATTGGGAAAATTGACTTGGAAACTGGGGTTCAGGTGCAGCAGGTATTCTGCTGAGATGAGAGGTGCACCATGAGTGCTTTGAGAGTCCTGGTGACAGGGCCTGGGGTCAGAGGGTTCGGGGTGGGGTGCTAAACTGAGTCTTGAAGAATGAGGGGGAGAAGGGCATCGCAGACACTGGGGACCATGTGGGAGCAAAGGCTAGACACAGGAAACTTAGCGTAGAGGACCTCCAGGAGCCTGGAACCACAGAGCCCAGAGAGCGCCATGCTGTGACAGGAGTGAGGCCAGAGAGAAGGAGTGGCCAGTGCTTCGGATACCATGCCATGAATCACCCGAGTCTAGCCTAGACTTCCTCAGAGCAAGGCAGAGGAGAGGGAAGATCTGAGAACGCAAAACTGGAAGCTATGAGGTCTCTAAAAGCCTAGCCTTGGAAGCCACACAGCATCATTTCCACTGCATTGTACTGGGCAGAGCAACTCACCGGCAGCCCAGACTCAGGAAAGGGAGTGATCCCGTTCCCGACGACAGGAACTGCACACAGGCATGCAGGCTGGGGGCTGGTGTTGCCGGCTATGTTTGGAGACAATCTACCACACTTGCCAATAGTCTAGGCAGGGCTAAAAATATACACAGGTCCACAGAAGAGGGGCTAGGTTTGAAAAATATATAGAAGAGCGAATCATCTAGACTCAATGGTTAGTTGGACGTGGGAGGTAAGGAGGAGAAAAGTTGGGGTTTTGTCTTGGGTGCTGACATACCTGGAGCTAAGATGATGAAAGAGGCATGTTTGGGGGGAAAGGTGCAGACTGATTTGGGACGTGTTGGGTTTGAAGTGCATGTAGGTGGGAGCCGAGTTTGACTGAGTTGTAAGCTTGAGGGGTGAATCAGGCCTCAGGTAGAGCCCTCAGCTTCTACATAGCAGTCAGACTATCAGAGAAATGCAGTCGTGCAGAGAGAGCAGAGAGGGGCAGGGACGGGCGCCCAGGAGAGCACACATGTTCAGATCCAGTTGAAGGTTGGTTAGGAGGAGGTTGGAAAGGGATCCAACCTTGGGACATGGGGTGGCTTTGAAAGGTCTCTCTCTCTCTCTCTCCCTCTCGACTTGATCTGGGAGCAGGCCACATAGAAGTGGAGGTTATCTGCTGAGCAAAAGGAGGGTGAGGCCTGCTGAGACTGGGGAAGGTTTGGAATAGCTACTGCAGGGAAAGGGAGTTGCTGTAAGGCCTTCCATCTGGAGTGACGATAATCCACACCATGTGGGCTTCACCTCCATAGCTTGCAGGGGAGAGGGGAGTTGTAGGCTGATCCAGGCAGAGTTTGGTGAGACAGGTGCTGCAGAATGAGGGGCCAGGTGAGCTGCTGAGTGCTGGTGAAAGCACTTATATACCCAACCACAGGCTGAAGGACAGGGGAAGTGGGGGACCAGGACACTCAAGGTCCCCAGGAGATGATGAGCAGAGGTGCTAGGAACGAGGCTGAGGGGAAGCTGCAAACAAAGAAGAGTGTTGTAGCCACAAAATGGGACACCCAGGTTTCAAATGTCAGGGTGAAGGAGGCATGGACGACAAGGCCCAGCGGGTAGCCACTGAAGGGGTTGCCTGCTGTGGAGTGGAGGTGAAGGCTCCTGGGGTGGGACTATAAGGTACGTATGTGTCTAGGACATTCACAGGGTCACTGAAAGACCAGGATG